CAAACATACATTCATACATACATACATACATACATATATATATAGTTTGTTAAAAAAACGTACTATCCTTTTTTTGGTCAGAACGACAAAAATTAAAACAAGTCGATATTATATATGAGATAGAGGTTTTTTATTATTATTATGCATTTCTGTTTTTTAATACGTTTAATTTGGACTATTTTAACGTCTTTTAAACTTTTAGGTTAAAATAAAACGCTCCACTAGTCATTTAATATTTTGTTGATTCACCTTTGACTTTGTAAATAGCAATAGCTTGTTTGTGAAAACGTTCATCCAATCTCATTGTCATATCCGTGGCTATTTCTGTCCGAGATGTCTTAATTGCATCTTTGAGTTCGTTGCTATTTTAGGCTTTAATATGCCTATCTTAGACTTTATAATGCCACATAAGTTCTCAATTAGGTTCATGTCTGGCAATAATTCCGCATTTCTTTCTCTCAAAAACTCTGATGCCAGCTTTTACGTGTGTTTTGGGTCGTTTTCTTGCTGGAAAATGAACTGATTCAAACCCATTGATTTTAATTGGTCCAAAAGTGATTATTTATGCGAATAGGGAGAATAAAAACCATCATATTCAGTGATGAGTCGAAATTCAACTTGTTTCACTCCGTTGGCACGTCCTTTGTGTAGAGAGAGCCTGGAACAGGACTTCTGTTCCGACATATTGAAAAAACTGTCAAATATGCAGGTGGGAGTGTAATGGTGTGGGATCTTTTCCAAATTATTTAGTTGGAAAGTTGGTGTTTATAGAGGATTAAATGGATGCTATCCTTTCCAATAGCCTCTTTGAATCTGCTGCATCAATGGGTTTGAATCAGTTCATTTTCCAGCAAGACAACGACCCAGAACACACATCAAAGCTGGCATCAGAGTTTTTTGAGAGAAAGAAATGTGGAATTATTGCCTTGGCCAGACATGAACCCAATTGAGAACTCATGGGCATATTAAAGCTTAAAATACCAACGAACTTAAAGATGCAATAAAGACGTATTGGGCAGAAATAGCCACGGATATGACAATGAGATTGAATGAAAGCTTTCACAAACGAGCTATTGCTCTTTATAAAGCCAAAGATGAATCAACAAAATATTAAATGACTAGTAGAGCGTTTTATTTTAACAAAAAAGTTTAAAAAATGACATAATAGTCTAAAGTAAACTTATTTAGAAAAAAACAGAAATGTAAAATAATTTAAATACGTACAGCTATCTTATATATAATATCGACTTGTTTTAATTTGTGTCATTTTGACCCAAAAAATGGTGGTGCTTTTTTTTAACAAACTGTATATTTATGTATATATTAATTTCCGGTTGAGTAAAAATGGCATAAGGACAGATCCACTTAAGCTTCTTGATCTGACGTCAACTTGAAGCCGTTGGAAGAATGAGTTCCAGCTCTGACGTTGTTGATCGCATGACGGTAGAAACGAGGGAGGATGCCTCGTGGACTGCATGAACCTGAAAGTCGTAGTAAATGTAAACGATTGCAGAGCAACGGGACCCTTCTGCCGTCCTTCGATGAGATCAACCGACACCTTCTTACACGCATACACGTGTACATACGACACATGCAGTCAAGCCTGAATACAAAAATACACACACACACACACAAACGTATGCACACACATGTGCATACACATAAAAACAAAGTCTGTGAGGCCATGGCATGTCTTGCCTGAAGAATGTTTTGGAAGATGAGCTGGGCCGTGCTCCTACTGAGTTGATGGAGGGACTGATGGGCTTCCGTGAGCGGAAGGGCGTAGGCGCGGACGCCGTCGGCAAGGAGACGGGCGAGTCGGGCCTGCCGGCCGAGGAGGCGACCGATCGCGACCTGCCGGCCGACCTCGCACGGCGACAGCTCGTCCCAGCGGGTCGTGAGCACCGGACGGGCCGGGACGAGGCTGTGCAACGGTCGGCTCGACCAACCCTCGGCCAGATCCAGATCCAACTCCTCCCAGAAGACCGGCTCCTCGGGCCGACGTTGTGGCCGCCCGGCCTCTGGCGCAGACGCCAACGCCAACGCCGACGCCGGCAGATGAAAGCCTTCGGTGAGGAGGGTGGAAGAGGCGAGTGCCTCCCATTCGTCACTGCTCCGCGTCGACGTCTGCCGACGCCGGCGAGGCGGCAGTGAGAGGCGCGAAAGCGTAGAGATCAACACTTCTCCTCCGTCCCGATCTGGACCGTTGGCAAGAGGAAGAGAGGGACAACGCGAATGGGAGGCGTATATGTGACATTTACAAAAGCACTACTCATGGATAGGTTGAGTAGTCGGCCCCGGTCATTCCTTTTCAGCCAGAGCAGGCACGATCCCCCCAATTGGAAATACGGCTGACATTGATATCACATCCAAATGTACCAGCATTACTGTCCAATATGCAAAGTGGCTTGCTGATACACAAATTTAAGCAGGTCACAAGACATTTTAGCATCATCCGGCCAAAATACTCAGCCAGCTTAAACGAGTGATTTCACTTTCCTTCTCACACACGCCTACGGGGCATACTTGAGCTCAGATTTTAGTCATAATT